CGACAAATGGGATCGTATATCCGCTTAAAGAGATAAACCTAGGTGTAGCTAGACGACGTCTAGAAAAACATATCAAAGCAGTCTTTTCCGGAGAAATACTGAAACCCATGTCTATAAACCATTGTTTAAGTATGCGCATAAATGTTCTTAAGTCATTCAAACACTGTACATATGAACTATGGGTGAAATAGTAGCATATATCATCCGCGTATTGAACAATATTGTCATTTCCTAATCTGTGCAGATCGACTGTGTAAATGTTAAATAGTATGGGACTTAAAATGGACACCTGTGGTAAGCCATTATATACCGTTCGTGGATCATGTAATACATTATGCTGATCTCTAATGTAAATTTTGCGATTACTAAATAAATTTATTATATTTGCTGAAACTTTATTATCTATACCAATTTTAACCATTTTCTTAAATAGGATATTTAGATCAACAACATCATATGCGCCAGTTAGATCAATAAATAAACAACATAAATTGGTTTTTGGAGAAACATAATTGTATATCATTAACTAAATACAGCATCTATTGTACCTTGCCCTCTACGAAATCCAAACTGAGCTCGAGGTAAAAGTGATTTACTTTCGACAAAGTATTCTAATCTTAATTTAATCAATTTTCGAAAGTCTTCGTAATACATTATGTTCATTTGTCTATATAGTCTGAATAAAAAAGGAGTGCAGTAAAAATGGGGATATAACGTCACATTTCATAGGCGTTTTTGCAAAATAAGTTTCTATTAGGCATTACAAACAAAATGGCTGCCCGTTTGAAATGACAAGTCACTGACAGTCACATGGTAGATTATAATATGGCAACACTGTGGGACTGATGGTTTGTTAGGGTCAATGATATATCATGATGATCAATCTATATAACTATCTATAGATAGTTATATAGATTGATCATCCATGTTTTTTAAAATAAACATGAGCGTATGCCTTGAAGTAAAATGTAGACAGCAATTATGTTTTTTTTAATATTCAAAGACTGGAAATTGGTATTAAAACACATTTTTACTAAACCGATTCAAATTAATTAACACTTGCAATATGGCCGCTCGCAAACGACCTGCTTTGAGCAACCTATATAACTGACCCTGACAATGACAACAGGCCCACAGGGTTGCCATATCTAAACTTAGTTCCCACTGGCAGATTAAATTTGGAATGAAAAAAATTATGTTATTTACAAAAATAAAAATAAACCTTATGCTTCTGGCAAAACTGTTGCACTTTAACAATAATCAAATTAAATTTAACCAATAAATAACAACAAGGATTATATGTTTTTAATCATATTAAACTTTTTTAATCATTTGGCATTAAAAGTAACACTTTAGTACCTAAAATCAAAGATTAAAAAATAAATATTTTAAGAAATATCTTTAAAAGTCACTGTCTTCACTTTAACTACTGGTATCATTATCATTGTCTTTTCTGAGGTTTATTATTATAAGGTCTATTAAGTTATCAATTGCTTTATCCACTTTCCAAAATGAATTTTCCACCTTTTTAACATGATCAATGCATTTTCTACAATGTTCTCCATTTACTGTATGTCCAACATTCACCCATGTTCCATCTAAATAAAATACCTATTTAAGCTGATTCCTTGCGTCCGTTATTGTCCTTAAATAATTATGTCTCCACGCAATGATTTCGTATTTCTCTGTTAAAATGCTGTTTCTTTCACGTTTTTTGTATTTCAAAATATGATATATTTAAAAGAGTGGGGCTATTTTCTATTTCTGAGGGTAATTTTTTAAGTGTAAGAATTTGCCTTATTAAATTCTTCACTAAAGTTTCAATAAAAGTTTTGTTTCTTCCTGGGAATTTTTTCGGATGTGAGACTTCTCCAATAAATGTATCTTCTTTAATAATTTTGTACACTGTCCGCTTAGATGCTCCAGTATAGGTCTCACATTTAGTGGCTATTTCATCCACAGAAAGTGAAACAAAGTATTTTCGAAGATTATTAAATACATTAGGTTAGGTTAGGTTGAAAATGAGTGGGATGATCTCATCGCTTTCCACTGCGACCCAGATGAGTCTCTTGTGGCTCATGACTAACTTATAGTTCACCGTACAAGCCCTTTTGATAAAGGTCATGGTTGAATTGAGTGAGACTTCTTTAAAGTCGGTAGGCTCCAGTCCGGTAAATCCGAAGATCTGGAACCTGGTTCTTTCCAGAGCGGAGCAGGTACATAAGATGTACTCTGCAGACTCGTCCTCCATGCTGTAGAATCGACAGTCCGGTATTTGTTGCAGACCTCTCCTTCTCATGTGGTTACCCAGACGGCAGTGTCCTATCATCAGTCCAGTGAAAATGCGTAGATCTTTCCTACTCCATTCTCGGATCTGAGCAGAGGCGTTCATAGAAGGGTTGGTTATAAACGCCTTCGAATGGGTTCGCCCTGGGGTATCTCTCCAGTTCGTGAATGTTGCACCCTCCGTCCATTTTAGATAATTCCTTTGGCAGTGCTTTTTGCAATGCCCAGGAATGGTTCTGGTCCTATGAACACAGATTCGGTTCCTCTTTTAGCAAGTGCGTCGGCTTTTTCGTTGCCCTCCACACCACTGTATCCCGGAACCCAGATCAAAATAACTTTGTTCCGGGCACCGAGGCACTCTAGGGTATTTATACAGTTCCAAACCAGCTTTGAGTCAACTCGATTGAAGCTCAGGGCCTTAAGGGCTGCCTGGCTATCTGAAAAGATCTTTATAGTCTTGTTTGCGGGAAGAAAATTAATCAACTCTCTCGCTCCTAATTCTATAGCAATCATTTCTGCTTGGAAGATCGTTGCCAGAGAGCCTAGGTTTATTGATATGTCAACTCTAGGCCTCTGGCCGAAAACTCCCGCTCCAACTCCTTTTTCAGTTTTGGAGCCGTCCGTGTACAACGCATAGTCTATCTGGGAGAGGGTTTTTTTCCCTCTGCTCCATGCGTCTCTCTCCAGAATGAGGGCGCTGTATGGTTTTTCTATGTGCTGTCGGGGAACTAGCGAGTCCGAGACCATGCCGAGGGTGAGGTGGTTATTAATTTCACTCATCAGCCCCGTCTTATCCCATCGAAGTTCTTCGTAACATTGACTACCCACTTTCAGGAGCCTGTAAGAGACCATTCTGGCCTCCCTTTCCAGCAGAATGTGGAGAGGGGTTAGGTTCAGCATGGTCTCCATGGCTCCCGTAGGTGTAGTTGACATTGCTCCAGTTATGGCGAGGCACGCAAGCCGCTGTATTCCAGCCAGCTTTGCTCTGGCTGTCCGTTGGAGTTCCTTGTCCAACCAGACGACAGACGTACGTAACCATGGGTTTTACCACTGTTTGGTAAATCCAATAGATCAGTTGAGGACTGATCCCCCATGATTTGCCGCATATTCTTCTAAGGGTCCAGAGGGATAATCTGGCTTTGTTGATGGTTTTATCCAATTGGGAGTTCCAGGTGAGTTTCTTATCTAGGGTGATTCCCAGATATTTCACCTCCTCCGCAAAAAGAATGGTTTCCCCAGCTAAGGTAGGTTGTCGAAGCTTGTCGAGCTTTCTTCTCTTGGTCAAGGGGACAATAACAGTTTTGCGGGGGTCAACAGACATCTGCTTCCTCTCGCACCATCTGTTGATCATATTAAGGGCTTGTTGAAGGATGTTGGAGATCACCTCTTCGAACTTTCCCCTAATTATGATAACCAGATCGTCCGCATAGCATTGGAAATCCACCCCCTGTCGGAAGAGATCATCTAGGAGGTTATCCACCAGAATAATCCACAGTAGGGGTGAAAGTACGCCGCCTTGTGGACATCCACTGACAGGCCTGAAAGTGACAGTCTCTCCCTGTAGTGATGAAGTGATGTTCCGGTTTGCCAGCATGCTTTTGATCCAATTACAGCTTAGTTTGTCGATTCCTCTTCTTTCAATAGAAGAGAACAAAGACTGAGAAAGGGCGTTGTTGAACGCGCCTTTTATATCTAGGAAGGCGCCTAGCGCAATCTTCCTTTTTATTTAGGGAATGGCCGATTTTGTCTACTAGATTGTGCAGGGCATGATCTACCGATTTGCCTACTCTGTAGGCATATTGAGAGGAGTTTAACGGGTTTGCCCGAAGACCTTTCTTAATATGCCTCTCTAGTGTTTTTAGAAGAAAGAATGTTAGGCAGATTGGACGATAAGAGTTTGGTAGGTATTTTTTTCTTCTAAAGACAATGCTTTATATCCACTAAGTCGTTTACGCGTATTTGTGCTTTCAATATTTTCTAATGCACTCGCCATTCTTATATAACTGTAAAATTATAATACAAAATTCCGAATTATTTAAAATACATACGATAAAGTCTGACTTATTTATTAAAAGAAAAGGTTTATTATAGTCAAAACCATGGAAACGTGATTAAATCTAAACGAAAACTTTTATTAGACTGATCAGATATTCAAATTTTCATTTTAACTACAAATAATCATTGAGGGATGAGGTATAAATAAAATGTCTACCTCTTGAATCTGTACTACGTTCTGTAAATTAAATTACTGCACTTCTTTCTTCTCTAAACTATAGTCAGTATTTATTGAGTTAAAATAAAAATCATGGTTACAGTAGCAGATATTTCCCTCCTATCAACGTACAAATTATCACGATTCATTAAGAAAAATTCAATTACTTGTGGTTTTTTGATGTTGCTACAAGCACATATAGAAGATAAATAAAAAATCGTTGGCCCCGGCAAAAGTGACACGACTTCAGATCCCAATATTTAATTTCAAGCCATTTCGAATTAAAAAACACTTATCTCAAAGAATTATTTTACCGCTTGTTAAGACCGCACACAAATACAAAACGGAATAAAACTTTCTATTTCCAATTTAAGTAATCAAAAGGTATTTATGTTAGGATATTTATTTTGTCAGATATTTTCTATATTTTTCATAATTTTTATATTTACTTTTCATAGGAGAATTTCCCATTAAATTATACTTAAAATATTTTTGTTTTCAGGTAGACTTCGGCGAAGTGTTTATACCCCCAAATCTGGAAGTACCGAAACCGAGAGTTCTTCCAGAATTTAAACGACTTGCTCACGGCCTTCGTTCAGACAACATCAGTATTTTAGACGCAAAAACATTCTACATTCCGAATTTACATTACGATGGAGCAGGACCAGACGCTTATTTCTGGGTTGGAAATGGTTCCGAACCCACCTCCTTTGGGATCAAAGTTCCTAATGAAATGGGATCACTGGATCCATTGAGGTAAGATTCGAATTATTTCATTTTTATTATTTTTATAGGACATTAACATTTCTCAGCAGAAAAGTAGATGTCAAATGGCGAACCAAAATGAGCGGATAATTGACCCTGTACTCCTGCATCTTACTACCCTTGAACTCCAGCTTAGGAAACATGATCTAATGAATAAATGGAACATATTTTGTTGTAAACACATTCCCAACTACTCATTCATAAAACTGAATTTGTTTTGAAGCTAACATCAAAATAGGAGTGAAAGAATCTTTGATCTTGGTATAATGTTTGGTTAGCTAGTGTATTGAAAACATTTATATATGCGTATTAGTTTTAAGGGAAAATGTTAATATTAATAAAACATTTTCGCTGTAAATATTTAATGATTTCATCAAACAAATTTTGTTATTTTTAATTAATATATAGGGTGTACCAATAAAAACTCCCAGGCCGGATATTTTGGTAAGTAATAGAGATATTTTAATTCTGTAAAAGCCAGTTCACAAAGCACTATGAGAGCTTCAGTTTTAGATGTTCATTGATTTTAAATAGGTCAATATGCAGATGGCGCTGCGCTCAATAATTTTTTTTATGGGAGGATCTTTCTTATGTAGCGCATCTTGTAAAAAATGCATTTTTAAGTAAATTTTATTTAACGAACTAATTCGATAAATCTAGCCATTTTTGATATACAGAGTGGGTCACTCAAAACAGTTTCATCCTGTTTTTCGGCATTAATCATTGGATTTTTAAAAAAATGCTAAAACAGGTCGATTTTTATTTCAAATTAAACACATTTTTATAATACAGAATCTGTCATGTGTCAACCCACTCCCTTCCACTTTTTCAATCCCTTAATTTTAAATAAGGAATGTACCATGTACGTCACATTAAAAAGGTAATTTTATGGGGAAGTCAGGGATATGACAGTTTATTGCGATACTTTTAATTTTAGCGCCCTCTAGGGATAAAAAATCTGTAACGTATTATAATGTGTGATACTTCATTTGAAAGCTAATTTAATTACTGATTCAATGCACCACATAACATTAATATAAATATTTCCATATTGCACTTGCAACAAAATAAAGTTAGCAATAATGTTTAAAATAATGCATGACTAATTGTCAAACTATTGCAAGTGCAATATGGAGGATATTTATAATATTATGTGGTACATTGAATTAGTAATTAAATTTGCTTTCAAATAAGGTGTCACACTTTAGTTTTTTTATCCCGATAGACGGTGATACAATTAAAAGTATTACAATGAACAGTCATATTTCTAAATTCCCCATAAAATTACCTTTTTAATGATGTACTACACATTGTAGTATCACACTCTATAATACGTAGTAGTTTTTTATCCCGCCAGAGGGCGAAAAAATTTAAATAACGCAATGTACAGAAATATTTCTGAATCCCCCATTAAATTACCTTTTCAATGATGTCGGGTCGGGTCGGGTCGATGGTGTAGCGGTCTATCGCGCTTATATTCATTTATAGGCGAGTTTATGAGTTCGAGACTGCTGGGCTTCGAATCCCAGACCAGACCATGTGGATTTTTAATTAAATTGCATGGTTCGGTTTAGGATTTGATGTGTGTCGTATTAATGGAAATTCAATTTCTGTTGATATGACATGCAGATTATAAAATCGCCATACATTATCGTCTTGATGATGGTGGGTGAGGTTTTCCGGGTTTTCCTCACCTGTAAGTCAAATGGCACCATCAATCATCCTTAAGTCGCCCCGGAGCGCCACGGCAAATCATAATAATAGCCGTCCCTTCCCCTACACAAGTCGTTCAGTCGACTTCAGGGGTTGAAATTCACTCGTAAGGGGGTGAATTAGGGAGAGTATTATTATTATGTGCCATACATGGTACATTACCTATTTAAAATTAAGGTGTGGAGAAGTGCAAGGGAGGGGGTTGACACATGACAGATGTCTGTATTGTAAAAATGTTTTTAATTTGGAATAAAAATCGACCCAATTTAGCATTTTCTTAAAATTCAATTATTAATGCTGAAAAACAGGATGAAACTGTTTTAAGTGACCCACTCTGTATATCAAAATGGCTAGATATATCGAATTAGCTCATAATACAAAATCTGCTTAAAAATGCATTTTTTACAAGATGCGCTACACAAGAAAGATCCTCCCATCGAAAAAAAATTATTGAGCTCAGCGCCATCTACATATTGACCTATTTAAAATCAATGAACATCTAAAACTGAAGCTCTCATAGTGCTTTGTGAACTGACTTTTACAGAATTAAAATATCTTTATTACTTACCAAAATATCCGGCCTGGGAGTTTTTATTGGTACACCCTGTATACTCTTTGTTTTTTAGTAATATCCACCCTGTATACTTAGTGTAATGAATTAACATTACTTTAATATATGCGAAAGTATTACAAAGGTCATAGTTATTTCGACTAATTATTTATGAAATGATAAAAGTAATATTAAAAAACCGATTCCAAAATCGTATAGATGTCATTACAAATTAGTTTGCTGATTTTAACATATATTTAATCATCAGATCTTGACCAAATATATATGGGACTACCCCTGAAGTGCCCCCTTTCCAACAAAAAAGAATCATAGAAATCGGACAATGTTGTAAAAAAGTATCGCTGAACATACATAAAAAAATATTTAGACCAATTGAGAACCTCCTCCTTTTTTAAAGTCTGTTAAAAATACAAATAACAATTTTTATAAGTTTTAAAATGTACATCAGTTGTTAAGCAGCTTTTTTAAAAATAAACTTTTTACATATTTATAAAATCATTCCAACTATAAAAAGTAGATATTTATGTTGTTTTTTTTTTAATTAAAACTTACCTTTTATATCAACTGAGAACATAAAGTTTATTTCTTTCACTTCAATCTCTTTTGTATATTCAGTAATAGTGTGGAGGGAGATCAATATATATTTTTTTATTCATTTCAGCACCTCTACGAGTAAGTATTACTTCTATAATGTATTTGGTAGAAAAACTATTGGTGTCCAAGAGGTTATTATTATAAGAAAACAGCAGCTTATTTTATTTATTAATTTAGAATAGTTTATAGATTTTAAAATAAAATAAGTTTGGTGTTTATACTTCTAATGCTATTTATTAGATTTGATATATTTTTGTTTCTAAAGCTGTTAACGTACCAGAATAGATTTTATTTTAGACAACAGAACCAACGTTAACAAAAATAGGATATATTTACTATTATATGCTAATTCCTTCCGACTAATCAGCCTTACATCCTTTGTATTAAAAACAATGGAGAAGGCTGTTGATAATTATATCAGAACATAAATCCTGAAGAAGGTGCCACTCTTCATCACAGCAGAAATATATAAAGAAAAACCCCTGGTACAACTGACGAATCCAGGATGCACTGACAAACAAAGAACCGGTCAGTGTGCCTTCTTAGACATAAAAGGAACGTTTTGCAACACGACTCACAAATCTGCCAAAAGAGCTGTCGCATAGAGAGGAGTAGATAGCACCAAATCCAGATGGATGGCTCAGCTGCTCTCTAAGAGAACTGCAGAGACACAGATAAGATAGGACCCATCTCCATCTGGACAATCAGGAAAAGTTCTATCCCTACAAATGTTGAGCCTAATCGTAGACGAACTTCGTTTTGCGGTATCAGCAATAATATAATATTAGGTGAGATTAAAAAAGAATTGAACAGTAGAAAAAACCGATAATTGGAACAATCTCTTGGGGGCTAAGACAAGCAAAGGTACTTCTGGGTGAATTTAACCAGAAAAAATCGAAAGCCTTTATCTGCCTGAGCAAAAACAGGCTAAGCATTGTAACAGGGATCCTTATTGGGCATTTCCAATTCAAATGACACCTCAGTAAATGAGAGTACTAGATGAGAGTGAGGAAGTATATGGATTTGTAAAACAAGTAAACATTAATTTATTATTATTACATATTTTTATCGCTTAAATTAAAGAAAATTATGTATAATCAATAATAAAATATAGACAGGCCTAAATCTAATAAGTTGTCATTGAAAAATTAGCCTATTCTGTCCAAATAAAAAAATATCATTTAATAATAGCGTGAAGTTAAAATGTATAAAAAAGGATCGTTATTTATATTTGGCCAAAAATGCCACTTCTTCTTAGCATCAAAAGTGTTAAATTATTTACCTCCAAAAATTCTAAAATCAAAATCATTATCGCAATTTAAAACAAGAACAAAAAAATTTTTATTAGAAGAATATAGAGCAAATATCAGAAATATTATTGATATGAATATCGATAGATAAATGAAAAATAAAAAAAGAATAAAAAAATTTATTAAAAAAAAAAAATAATAAATAAAATAAAAAATAAAAAAATAATGAAAATTAAAAAAAAAAAGCGGCAAATTTCTCTATTATTATTATTATTATTATTATTATATGTCAGTATTTGTATTATATTAATTAATTGTAAAATAAAACATAAAATAGTACTTAACATATCTCTACACACGCCACGGACAGTTTTTATACTTTGTGGCAATGGCTAGTTTATTTGTATGTATTTAAAAAAAAAATTATTATATTTAATTTTTTGTACATTTTTCAAATAAACTTTTATTATTATTATTATTATTATTATTTTCATTTTTCTTCGAAAGAAAACATAGAATGAATGATTAAAACTGGTTTTCCATCAGTAAGTCACAAAATTGCATTCCAGCCACATATAATAATCAAAGGCAGAAATCTTGAAATCTAGTCCTTGCTGAATGAACATTTAAGAATAAAGGGATATTAAAGAATATTTTAAATTGATAATTTATTTACTTAAAACCTTTCAAGTTCCTGATGTCTACTATTTCCAGCATTACTGTTATTATTACAAAAATAAAGGTAATTTTTCTTCTTATTGTACACTTATCCATTTATTTCTTTGATTTAATTTCCACTTTGCTATTGAAATTTTTTATATAAGTTTCACTGTTTTTTTTGCTAGTATTTGTACAGTTTTCAACACAGTAACTTCGGTTGCTTACTGTATTGTTTTTACCTACTTTTTTGAAAAAAAAAGTAAAATGTATACGTGTATTTGATATGCCAAAATTACAAAATATCGCCCTAAAATGCACGAATTATCCGCTAATATCGCTTGTGCTTCCCTTTCCATGACTTCGCACGGAGACTGTCGTGAACTGAGTGCACGGATTTTGAATTTGCATCCTGTTATAATAGGGAATGTGAAAAACAAATTTAAAACAATCATTTACACAAGAACATTTGAAATTTCCATTATATGTAAAAGATATTAATTTAACTGCTCTAGTTTTACACTTCCTACTATTTAATCATGCTGAAAATACCTATTAGGTAGATTCTTTGTTTTTGTGATATTTTAGTTTATTTTCGTAATGATAATTATTGTCGAAATATAAAACAACACAGATTTCCAATATTATGACCAATATTTCAAAAAGCATTGTATCCGCTCAAGACGCCAATGGTGTTTTCCATTGGCACTGGCATGTACGCACTGAGTATATTAATTTGTGTCCTTGTTTATTGATATGGAAAAGAAGAAAATGAGAATACACTCAGAACGCACAGAACATACCAATGGAAACAGCATAACATTTTTAAAGTAGGTAAATCGTTAGCCTTTAAACCAACAAATAATTTAATAGATACATATTTTTTAAGTTTTTAACCGTAATTTTTAGTATTTATTTTTTATTTTTCTGTTACACTTACGACTCCAATTATAACCTAACTTAAATTTAAAACCAAAGATGTATGAAAATATTCCGTTTGTTAATACAAAACCCTGTTTGACCATGTTGGTACTAGTATGTCCTATTTATTCACTTAATTTGAAAAATCAAAAACCCAATTTTTACAAAACAAAAATAGCCGCGACGAACAATTTTCGAAGCTTAACATAAATAAAACAGTTTAACTAGGTATTCAACTGGCTTGATGCTTGTCCTTGCCCTATTGTCAGACGTAAAATTTCTTCCGATAATTTTAGGACACTATAATGGAATACAAAAATAATAATAGACAGTAAAGGAATGTGAAAAATGCAATATCTTTAAAAGAAAAATCACTTTCATCATACAAACTATGCCAATAACATATTATACATAATTGTTGACTAAATGACAAATAAAAGCATTTTCACATCTACCATTAAAGCCTATTATTTCCGGATTTAACTATACTAATTTTAAGAACAACGTAACTTGGCATCAATGTTCTATCAGAATATTCCATTTCTGCCAAGGACACTTAGAATGTGAACTCATGTTGGCTTCAGAAATTTTGTATTTAGTTTTCTACTAGCAGACGTTGTCCTGCTAGTATAAAAAATTCATCATAATCGGTCCAGCCGTTTAGGAGGAGAAGAATTACGAACACACGCACACCCGTATCTTTTATATGAAGATGGTGGAAACTCGCTGTTATAGGAATGATGCACTTTTACTTAAAACTATATTTACACAATATTTCCACTCAGAGCATAGCAACTAAACTAGAAGAATTAGAAAAAAAGTTTAATTTAGTATTTTAATAAAATGAAGAAATAAACCGAAGGTTTATCCCGCACAGAATATTGGGGAAGCTGAGTTAGGCCAGCGCTGCAGGTGGCGTAATCTAGGTAGTTGAGTTAGGCCAGCGACCTTCTTTAATCCCTTGTCAATTATTAATTAGGAGTATTAATAAGTAATTAGGAGAATGATGTGTAGATACATTACGGATGTACGGAAAATAGAAAAGTACTATTTTATGCTGTCTTTAATTGTCACCGAGTATACATTACGATCATGGAAGTCAAATATATTTTTAGCGAAAAGGGGAAAAAGTTGTTAGTTATAGGCAATTTTAAATTTTGTGATGCAAATATTCTTGCCAATGGTGAAGTGCGATGGAGATGTGTTAAAAAAAACAAGTGTTCAACCAAGGTTTATATCCTTCGTGACCAAATAATAGACGAGAAAAGTGATGTCAATCACAACCATGAGGAAGACGACACCCTTCAACGACAGGCCCTTAGCAATGGCATTAAAAGGAAAGAATTGCAGGACCTGTCAGAAAAACCCTCAAAATTCATTCATCAAGAATTAAGGAAGAACGAGTTTTATGACGATATCACCTCGCACGACATTTATAGAGTGCAAAAAAACATTTATGCCGCAAGACGTTCTGTTATGCCCACGCTCCCCAAAAATCAAGAGGATGTTTTTACTTATTAGGTAAGATGAATCCTATTACAAATAAAAACGAAGAGTTTCTTTTTATTTGCGATAGCCTTCACAGATAATTGTGTTTGGTTGCAGAAGCAACTTTAATTTTTTATGTTCAGTTGATACTGTTTATATGGTCGGTACATTTCAATATTCGACCAAATATTTTGTACAGTTTTTTACAATTCACGGTAACAAAAATTGACACTATGTATCTTTGGTTTTTTGCTTATTGCCCTCAAAATCACAATCTGTGTATCTTAAATTATTTAAGTTATTAGATGCAAAATGTCAAACATTTAGTCTTTACTTTAAACCTTCTTTTATTGTAATAATTGATTTTGAGTTAGCGATTCATAATGCAGTTAAAGTTATGTGGCAAAACATAAAAATAATAGGCTGTCGCTTTCATTTATTCCAGGCCTGGTATCGAAAAATTCAATATTTAGGATTAAGCGCTAATTACCGTTCAGAAAATCAAGTAGGAAAATATTTGAAATATTTCTTTGGCCTTCCATTTCTAAAACTAGAAGTTAGTGACTGTTTTGCATTTGATTTGTTTAACCAAAAAGTAATTGAATTTTGCGACTATTTAGTAGATAACTATCTTGGGGCAAATGCTACATTTTCGCCGTTTGTATGGGCTTCAGCCTCAGATTCGATGACACGTACCACAAATTCTTGTGAGTCATTTCATTCATTATTTAATAGCCATTTTTATTCTTGCCATCCGAATATTTTTCAGTTTGTGGAAATTTTACTTAACTTTGTAATGAGTTAAGTAGATTCAAATTTGTTCAATGCATTGCTTTTAAATATGCACCAAATAATGAGTAAAAGGATTAAAATAGCCAAGCGGTTACCGGGGATTATAGCAGGTAGTTGGCCCAACTCGGTTGCGCCCACAGAATAGATATCAAGATCATTTTTCTAAATGGTAAATGAACCACCATGTATTTTTATTTATTATTTGATTCTATCTTTAATAGGCTTTACCACCATTTTTTATTTTTGAAATTTTATCTCAGCTACAAAATTGAAACACAAAACAAAATCTGACAACAAATACGATGTGATAGTTCACAAATGACATGACACTTGTTGCACAGAACACACAAAAATTAAGTATATTTAATTATTATCCCAATAAACTCTTTATTTGATTAGTTATATCATTTTAAAGCTAATCATTTAGGACTTAAAACTTTTGCAAAAAATACAGGGTGCTTCATTTAAAAAACTTCTGCCAGCAGACCATTCTGTTATATTGTTCCCATTTTGGTTTTATAAATAAAACCAAATTGCATACAAGACAGTTTAAGTTTGTTTTAATGTTTTATACTTCTTAGTTATATAACAGGAAGGAACATATATATTGTAGTTGTAGGTACACAGTGGGAGTATCAAAAGATTATAAACTTTGCTCATTTACCTATGTTTGTTTATATTTTTTTATTTAGCTTCTCTACAAAAATATTAATGTTTCTACATAAATTAAAAAAAAAAACATTATTTAATAGTGGATTTTGTCACAATTTGCAGGGGTTACCAAGGTGAAGACATTGAAATTCAACTACCTGGGTTATTGACAGTGTACGACATAGATTGGTTAGCGGTTTGGTGCGTTCAATATAGACATAACTTCGGCCACGTTTATATTCCGAAAGATCTAGAAGTTCCACCTGCTCTTGGTCAAACGAAAGTTTCTGTAAGTTGACTCAAATCAAAGTTCCATTATTCTTATTATTTTCGTATATACAGGATGTTTCAATAATGATGGTCCATGGAGGAAAGTGTTGTAGCAAAATATGAAGATTTAACTGCTAATATAAAGGCGGCTTTACTGAAAAATTAATTTTTTGTTTATTGTTTAATACATTGCTAAAAATTTTAGGTTTTTGAAAAGCACAACTAAATTTTTCATTTAATAATACTTAAGCTCAAATAAAATTTTTCTTTTTTAAGCCTCCTTGGTGGTACAATCCAGTAAGTATAGTAGTATAATACTTAGTTTAAATACGTTCTAACTGTTTGTGCTTCTTAAACAATAATTAATGTTTTAGTGTTATTAAAATTGTACTATTTTTTTTATTTGCTCCACACACCTTGGATGTCAGCCAGGGCTTACACTAAATTATTTAGAGTTTAATTTATTTATTTTTTAATTTAATATAATTTATACTTCGTACTCAAAACTTTCAGTCCATATTCCAAAATTATTATTTCTTATCGATACGGTTAATGGAAATTAATAGCTAAAAAAATTGAATCAATTATTAAAAAAAAGGGAATTCCCATTTTTTTATTTCAGACATTGATAGATACTTACTTACAAATGTAGAATTAATTCATATTTTTCAAAATCATTCCCAAATTAAAAAAAAAATCATTTTATTCATGGTTTTTAAACTTTAAAAGTTGGTGTTTTAGTTTGATACGCACGACTTTGTCTAATATTTGACGACAGTCGTAAAGGGTCTATAGCGCGCTTTACATCTATCAATTTCTTTATGAATTGCTTCGTGAATTTCTTTACGAATTTCTTTATGATTTTCTTCATGAATTTCTTCATGAATTTCTTCATAAATTTCTTCATGAATTTCTTCATGAATTTCTTCATTAATTTCTTCATTAATTTCTTCATGAATTTCTTCATGAATTTCTTCATGAATTTCTTCATGAATTTCTTCATGAATTTCTTCATGAATTTCTTCATGAATTTCTTCATGAATTTCTTCATGAATTTCTTCATGAATTTCTTCATGAATTTCTTCATGAATTTCTTCATGAATTTCTTCATGAATTTCTTCATGAATTTCTTCATGAATTTCTTCATGAATTTCTTCATGAATTTCTTCATGAATTTCTTCATGAATTTCTTCATGAATTTCTTCATGAATTTCTTCATGAATTTCTTCATGAATTTCTTCATGAATTTCTTCATGAATTTCTTCATGAATTTCTTCATGAATTTCTTCATGAATTTCTTCATGAATTTCTTCATGAATTTCTTCATGAATTTCTTCATGAATTTCTTCATGAATTTCTTCATGAATTTCTTCATGAATTTCTTCATGAATTTCTTCATGAATTTCTTCATGAATTTCTTCATGAATTTCTTCATGAATTTCTTCATGAATTTCTTCATGAATTTCTTCATGAATTTCTTCATGAATTTCTTCATGAATTTCTTCATGAATTTCTTCATGAATTTCTTCATGAATTTCTTCATGAATTTCTTCATGGATTTCTTCATGAATTTCTTCATGAATTTCTTCATAACACACAATAATACGAGCGAACGATTTCCTTCTGAAAACAACTACTTCCTTGGCTAATACCGCAACAGACATTAAATTATATTCAAATAAAAACAGCAGAGATAAAATTATTTTCAACGCTGTAACTCTTATTTTGGTTACTAAAGAAAACATTGCTCTTAGAATAGAAAGTAACATATATTCTCGATTCCAGTCTCTGATGGAATCTACAGATGCGTTTAATTCACTCGGCTACATATATGGATATTTAGCGAAAATAAGACGTCGCAAAGTTACGCAATGTGTACTTAGTAAGCAAATGCTAAGCGTGTAGTACCCAGTTTAAAAATTAGATGGCATCAAAAAGAAAAATAATTTCAAAATTTTTAAGAATTTAGACTATTAGTATATTTAATTTGCTGCTTACTGTTGTGAACTGAAAAATAATAACGAACAAGTGCTTTGTAGCAAATTGTTTAAGCTAAAAAAAAAAAACATGTTTTATATTTGTACCCAGAGACTTAAATGTGGTTTCAGGTACTAGAAGAGTTGTAGAAACATCAGAATTATTATTGTACAGATCATAACAAAATAATACTGATTACTAATAGGTCTGGGCGATTATCAAAATAAATAATCGATTGTCGATTATTTAAAATAATCGATTAATCGAAAATAATCTATTAATCGAAAATAATCGATTAAAAAAATATTAATCGATTAATTGATTATAATCGATTAATCGATTATTTTGCTCACCCCTCGTAACTGATAATAGTAGCGGCTGATAAAAATACAACTTTCAAGAGAATAGGTCAAACTACTCGGAAATCCTTCCGCCTTCTCTTAACTCAAAGAAAATGATGGAAGTGATTGAAATACTAGGACGGAATGGATTAAATCCATAAGAAACAATCTTACATCGTTGCCACGTATCAAAGTACCAACAAAAAATTTAAAGTTTAAATACCTAACTTTTTTCTCAAGTTTAACTACCCAGTAATTATTTTTAAGAGACAAAAATTTTCTTGAGTGTTCCTTATGTCATATAATTTCGATATTTTTCATTATTTGTACATTTGCTTTTCATAGGAGAATTTTCCATTAAAATCTAATAAATAATTTTAGACCAGTACTACTCCAAAGACTGGCGTTCCAGCTAACTGTCGAGAATTTTTGGACAAACGATTGCAAGTCCGATGGAAGATAGAAGATGATTACGTTGACATCATTTTGTCTGCCAAAATTCCTGAAGATCAATACATAGCGTTCGGATTATCCGGAGCATCCGGTAAACCACAAATGGTAACGATGATTTAACCTATTTTTATGTTTAACTTGTGTCGGTACTGAATATTGTCTTCAAAGCATATTAATTATAATACATTTATTAATATAATCGTGTTTGTGTCTTGCACATTCGATCATCAAGGCAACAAGAAATATTTTCTTTTAAATTTTAATTCAATATGCTACAACGTGTTCATGACCGTATTAAAGTAATGTTTCATAAATAGTAATATATTTTTTTAGATTGGCGGAGACGTAATAGTGGCCTTTTACGATAGAGAGACCGGTACCTTCCATGCAGAAGACTACTACATATCCCACAACGCCCAATGTGATGGTAAGCAAGGTGTTTGTCCTGACGAACGAATTGGGGGAAGAAACGATGCTACGTTGATATCAGGATCGCGCGATAATGGAATAACGACTGTCACATTTAGAAGGCCTCTTAAAACCAACGAAGCTATTCACGATCAACCAATACCGGTGAGCTATCTAAAAAATATTCTATAAATAAATTCTTGGTGCAACATTTTTGGGACACACTCTACAAGACGAATAGGCACATTGGCGAAAGGTTGTTATTTTATTTTTCGAAACTATTTGTCTTCATTTTCTTTTGGCACTTATCCATTCTTTGGTTCCTACCTTTCATCCTCTATTTTGATTACCATACTTTTTGTTTCCTTGCTTTAGAACCGGGGTAATTTTACTGCGATATAAAATTGGTAGAAAGAGAATGTATCATCCCAAATAAAACTGTAAAAAATTAACTAGGCAGAAACCAGTCCTATCCTAACTTAAATAAGCAAAACATATTGTAGGAAACTGGAGAAGTATCGGTCATTGCCGCCTTTGGACCTTTAAATTCTTTGAAAGAAGCAAACGCGCATTCTGCAGCCGATAAAACAGCCGATGATTTAAGAATCGATTTCAGCAATTACGATGACCACGATTGCACAATCAATTTGGAAGATTTGGGAGAAATTGGTGGGCCAAAACCTTGGCCAGCTGCCAAAATTATCGGTAAAACTGCTTAAATGCTATTTTATGCTCAATCTTCACTGAATAATAATAATAATAATAATAATTTCTAGGAGAAACTACTTTTAATGCAAGACTAGGTCCGACGGGTGGCAAAAGAGGATACACAGCTATTACTGGGTTGCCATCTTGGGGTATAGCTTGGTATATAAACGACATGCTGATACCTGAACTGACATTGGAAAGAGGTCAAACTTACACCTTCAAAGTTGAGGGAGGAGATGACAGTAGCAATCCCGCAAGGTATTTTTATCTAAACAAATCACATTGAATATATATAAAAAAATTGTATTCCAATTTTTAGGTACCATCCTTTCTACATAACAGACTCTAAAGAAGGCGGTTTTGGGCAAAAAACCGAAGAGGAAAAAATGAAACAAAAAGTGTACGCTGGAGTGGAATATGACGGACAAGGATACGCCTATCCTTCTCTAGCCGGAAGGTACTGCGAATGGGCGCACAAGAGTATCGATAAGTCATTAGAATCTGAAACTTTTGAAGAATTTACGAAAACTTTGCGACTGGAATGTGACCAAGGGGAACCCGCTTATTTGAACTGGACGGTTCCGATGGAGGCACCAGATGTTTTATACTATCAGGTTTGTATTCGACTTTCATTTTGCGAATATAGTTCTAATCCAACGCATGCGCAAACCACAAATGGTACAAATCATGCGCACTACGCAAAAAGTCTATACAGTCCATGATTTGTATAGTAATTGTATAGTTTTCGCGTGTGTTGGAACTGACCTAGTTGGCGTTCTTTTATTTAATAATTATTTATGTTTCTAGAATTTTCTAATAGTGTGACGTCATTTTTCTAAACAAAGTAACGTAACCATGAACATGGGCGTTTCAATGCTGTCACAATTTCCAATTTTCCAATACTTTTAACGGGGTTATGTTTGTGCTTCTTTACACTACTATTACAGGTTGAATCTATATAATATCTTCAAATTTGCAAATATGCCGCGGTGGCCTAAAAATCAAGGCTTAAACTCGAAAATCCACATTTGGCCCCTGGCCGGAGCACGCAATTTTTTTCTTTTCAGCTTTTTAAATTTTTGTTTGTTTGTTTTCATGCAATTTGGAGTGGTGGGGATGTATTCCTTCATTTTGTAGGGGGAATTGTGGTTTTTATTTTCACATTTTCAAATGCATAATAATACATATTGAGAGTGTCATATTATCAATCTTCTCGAATGTGGTTGCTTATTAAATCTACTGGCATATGTTGCTATATTAGCACAACAAGGCTACGTCTACATCCATGTTATATGCCCATTATATAGTGGTCGTGAGACTTAGCAAAGATCTGGACCATATTTGAAAACCGGCCCTGACTTTCCTTGTCGCTTCGAAAACCCGAACATGTCCAGACGAATAGGCAACCTTAACCCATTATAATTAATTTATTTCTGCACTTTTTGCTTGAATAATATTATTTATTTATATGCAGGACCAAACAAAAGATATTCGTAAAGTGCCTATTTGTTTACGACAGTATGTCATGGTAACTTTTTTGTGTAAAGAGCTTGTTGTTGAGATTAAGCGAATTAAACATGTTAAATTAAGCTTTAAATTATTTATTTGTTCTGTTTTAGTGTTATACACACAATAACCTCGGTTGGAAGATCAACATCGTAGAACCAGGTTACATATCGCTCCACAATAGTAACATCAACGGTGCAACTTTACACCTTGTGCCGATAAATCTAATATGGGTATTAATTACATACACGATAAGCCACCATATACTCTTAATTAATTTGTAACGAAAATTTTAAATATCTTTTTTCTACTGACTGAAAGTTTTTGAGAATTTATGTAATTACTATAATGATTACAGGGTTTTGTTCGTGTGTTGAGGAACTGATGGCAAATTTAAAAAAATAAGTGCGGTTTAATGTAACGGCTGAAATACTTAACTAACATTTTGAAATAATGTGATAAGATCATATGTATCTTTGTTTAGAACTGTTTGCGGAGAAGATAGTTTAATGAAAGGCATTCTTAAAAAGTATTTTCATTTTCGATTTTCTAAGTGAACTTTTATCTTGTTGAAAGGAATAAGTCGAAAAATCTTTTGTAACTAACTTTATGGCAGTGACGTCATCTGCATAAACTCCGTACCCTATTTGGCTGTATGTCAAAGGACAAGAGGTAGTGCCATTATAATTAAATAGATACAATATTATTAAATCAGTGCCTATATGTATAATCACATTTTTAATAGTACCAACTCTGCACAAATTTTTGGTTTGTCATCATTTTTTTAACCTCACCATACGTATAAAATCTCTCATATTGAGTAAGTCCTACGTCATATCAATTAGGTGTTTTCAATAAGTATATAAATTAAAATGTAACTATATCAAATAAAAAAGAGCAAGTCATTAGCCGGTAATTTCAAAAGCTTTTTATATACATTAACGTTATTGTAAATATATTAACTGTTGATTTTATATTAATTTTACAACGTAATATTATTGATTGTCGTTGACATCATTTCGTCTTAATAATATTGTTAAGTTTGAGAAATGCATTTTATACTCTTTAGTGTGATAAATTTTGCGATTTTGTGAGATTTAGACAATAATATTTTTAGAGTAAAAATACCTGCACTTGCTCTTTTATTTTTATCTAGACTAAAAGGAAAAAAGCAGAACTGGATAAAAGGTATAAAATACTATCATTTTGAACCTGTTTTTGGTATAAAGACCACTCAGTTTTTAAATGTTTATTATATGTATAATAATTCCAAGTATTACTGAGACCTAAGGCTGGAACAGACGAATGTTTATTTTATGTTCGTTGTAGCGCACGTTGAAGCGCACATACAATTATGTAACGACGATAAAGACGCACTTTAAAACTTTTATTTTCACTTGGGGACCTATTTTAAAATTATGGCAGTGCTCATTTCTCTCAAGATTTTCATGAGAAGTGTCAGACGTCAACGTGGAAATAGCATTTTTAAAGCCAGTGAGAACTGTTTTCTCAGTTTTTTCGTGAGAATTAATTAAGAATTTTAATTCTTACTGGCTTTCAAAATATTGTTTTTACGCTGACATATGACATTTCTTATGAGAGAAATCATTTGAAATCGTTTGAAAATAGGTCCCCACCCCGGTGAATGACATTTTACAGGTGTTTCAACTCTTTTTAAAATATGGCACCAATAACAGCATAGTATGTAAAAAATCCACTAGATGTCGGTAGAAGATGAAGTACCTCAAATGAAAACAAATAATGACTGCCAACTGTCAGAAAAATTCAGTTAATTTTATCTTATGCTGCGTTTGAGAATCCACATCGGATGCATCTGAGATGTAAAAAATCTTTGATCACGTGATTCAGTATACGTAAATGTAATGGGACAGATGTGTCCGATGTGGATAAAAAAACGCTCGAGATGTAAAAAATGCATCCGATGTGGATTCTCAAACGCAGCATTAATCGAGTAAAAAATACGTCTGTATCCATTTTTTTTTTTTTTTTTAAATAATGGTAATTTATTAATGTCTACTAATAATATTCTATATAACAAACGATATGGATTGTGAAAATGAGAAGAAAAATACTATACCACATACCACCCATATATTTCTTCAAAACAAAGTGAGAACATTACTATTTTTCATCATTTTTAGTATACAAGACAGCAATAATTAAATAAGAAAAATAGTGTGTATTCTTTCCAGGGGGTCAATTCTCGACTTTTATTCCCATGGGAAAATAAAATTTTCCCATGGGAATTCAGTTTTCGTATTCTCGACATAATCGGTGGAATATTTTCCAATGAGAAGTATGGGAAAATATTCCCCTGCTTACGAGCATTGGAAATTGTGTTTTCCAATGGGAATTGTACTAGAGTTTGCGCATTAAAGTCGAAAATTTGACGAAAGACCACGCGAAAGTCTAAGACATAACCAAAGATTATTGGATATCTTGGATTTTTGGTGAAATTGTAGTTAAAACATTTTTTTGGCGTATTTATAGATTGATATTATTTTATTTATGTAGGTATATTATTTTTAATTCTCTTTCACTGAGAAACTGTATAAACTGATTTTCCTAAATCATTTAGAAATTGTGGGAGCTGCTAAGGGACTGGCAAATAACACAAATTGAGTGTAGTAAATTTAATAAGACCTTTTCGAAAATTTTATTATTTTCGTTAATGAAAGAATTTTTTAGGGCCGATTCCACCGTTGTGTTAAACGGAGATTAAAATGACATTGCTAATGTAAAAATGTCACTTTAAACTTCGTTTAACACAACGGTGGAATCGGTCCTTAGTTTCTCAAAACTTTCGTTGCTCTTCCATACAAAAGCTACCTTTTCTTTTTTCAACATGAGAAAAGAAAAACTAAGAATAACTCGACAAGTTTTAATTATTATATGTAATCGAATATTTTCACTTATTCCTCGATCATGATAGCGATTGCTCGGCACGGCACCTGCTCCAGCGCGGAGGCTCGGCAGGTAATCGGATACCCAAAGACCACAACAAATACAAATATTGCCAACAGTAAATTTTAAAATATCTTTAATGTTATTGGTTGTTTCGAAATATTCGTGAACTTAATATCAGACATACGTGAAACTACTATTTCCATGGGAATGTCTATTCCGACACGTTCGAGAATTGCATAACCTATTACCATGGGAATATAAGTATTGGAATATTTTCCCATGGGAAATTTTTCCAATGATCTCGAGAATCGAGCCCCTGGTGTACATTCTAATTGGATCTTTAACTGTCAATATATTATCTTTTGACACGTTGATCCTGACTTACCCAATCATTGATGATGGCATATAATAAATCAATCGAATGATATAATTCGAATACTCGTAGAATTCGAATTTTAATCCTCCGAGTATTCTATTATGACGATCAATCGATTATGTCCATCACTATAGTTCAGTGTTTCGGTTACATCACTGAACTATATATTAAACTGGAAGAACAAAGCCGATCAACGAAATCAAGCTGCATAGCGAGGTGATATTTGACAATTTGGCGCCCACATGTGCGTATCGAAATTCACTAAAAAGGATCATCAAAATTAAATTTAACACTTATTACATTCAACTATGACACCTTTTAATTTAAGAAAATCACTTAAAAATGATTTTTGATTAATACGCAGTTGAAACAAATGTTCCAATAATAATTATTATTAAAATAGCGCGTTTTTAATAGAAAATAATATAATTTATCGCAGTAAGCCCGTGGAAAACGTGACGTAGAATTCTTGAAATTGACAGTCTGGCGTCCAAATTGTCATGCGCATCGACCGTTTTTTCACCCGTGTCGGCTTAGAAATTAGGAGTAGGGTTTATGTCATATAGGGCCGATTCCACCGTTGTGTTAAACGGAGATTAAAATGACATTGTTAATGTAAAAATGTAATTTTAAACTTCGTTTAACACAACGGTGGAATCGATCCTTAGCTATCCAGTTTAATATCAAGGTCAAGTTATTTTTCATCTCACTCGGGAGTATTTATAAGAACCATTTTCTATTTCACTTTGTTATTGTCTGATCCACCAACTTGTTGATTGAACAATAACAATGTGAAACAGAAAATGGTTATTATAAATACTCCCGAGTGAGATGAGAAATAAAAATGGCTGCGCCCATAGAGTCGCATCTTGTTCTATTGATACAATATGCACATTGGCTTTCTACCCCACTCTAGTTCATTGCACAGATCACGTACTCAGAGCGCGCTCACTCTTCCCCGAGTTGGCCGATGGAGATGATCGGGTATCTGTAGGAATGTGTCAAAAATGTCAAATGTCAATATTCTGATCGGCGATTAATTAGTTTTAAGGTTAGTTCATGTAGATGCGAATCGCGAATTGCGAAAGCGAAATTCGCAAAAAAATATTTTTTTTATGTCAATGCATGTACCTGCGAATGTTTTGACAGGATTCTGGGATATTTATTATTTTCACTAAAACATATTCGGCAGTTGGTATTATTCCACAACAATACATAACCCCGATTCGTGTCTGCTACCGATAAATAGTTTTATAAAATAAAATGAATGACAAATACGATAATGAATTAGCTTTTTTATTTATTGTTAAAAAAGACATAGTATTAGTATTAATAGTACGCAGTTTACGTCTGTGAAATATTTAAACAGAAAACAACAAAGAGCAAAATATCACAATTTAGTGAATTTAGCATATATTCGGCTAAATCACAACGAAGAAAAAAACGAAGAATATCATGAACATACCTACCAGCATATACCGCAAATATAATACAAATATAACCTATATCATAATCCACAACAAACAAACAAACTCTAGTAGGCGCTACTACGCTTGCGTTCACATAAAATTTGTGCGATATTCGCAAAATATTAAAACGATTTCAAGATTCCCGCCCCCCCAGATTTTGAATAATTCGAATTCGCAAGAAATTCAACTTTTGAGCTCTCAAAATTTCCATCTTGTCATTATTGTGATATTGACCAATGGCAGCGACCTTCGCGATTCGCAACTACATGAACTAGCCTTTACACGTTTTATTTCTTGTTTTTTTTTTTGTTATAACTATTTCCTATTTGATTAAAATTATTTTGTACAGCCATACACACTCACAAAAGTGTATTCAAGTGCAAACTATCACTAGCGTCATTTGTCAGGCCCCTTGTGTTCGTCTTGAGATTGTAAAAAGAGCGAACTCAGTCTATGACGTCACGCATTCCGTGCGCGCTCTGTCCGATCCGTCGAGTTCCAAACCGAACTTACCCAAAGTACATCAGACAAATGACAAGTGACACAATAACAGCAAGTGTCTTTCTCATATAAAGGGGATTTGTTCCGTAACATACAACCACATACTTTGATTTTCTTTTACTATACGGAGAATGGTCGCACTGCGCAGCTTTCTGAGTGCCTTTTAAAAGGAGATAGAAAACTCCGCCATTTTGAACCCTTATTACGTGTTGCCTACATCTTGGCGCAATATTTTTAATAGG